TGGAAGCATTTCGCACATGATCTTATTGATCCTTTAATGCATCAGATTAATCCGGTTTGGCTAAGCCACCCCATACAATTTCCGGATCACAGGACCACGGGTTGGATTCACCTCCTTCCTAAACCTAATAAATCCCCAAGCAAACCTCAGGCACTCCGACCTATCTGCTTACAACATCCAATCAACAAGATCCTTGCCGGAATCCAGTGCAAGCAGATAGTTCAACAGACATTCGACAGACTTAGATGTCTTCCGCTATATGCGTACTTGCCTCACAGAAGAACACGTGAGTGCCTTCTCATCGTAGCAGAGCATTATAGAACCATACGCATGATATGCAAGGACGTCAAGATTGGTAGCATGCCTAAGCTGCTAGGAGGCCTCCAGGCTTCATTAGATATGGAAAAGGCATTTGATACGGTCAGTCGAACCTTAGTGCTTCGAGCCTTACAGTTGTACCATTTGGATCCTGACCTCTTTCAATTTGTGCATTCGTGGCTCACCCCCCACAAGTACTGTATTCCCTTCAAGCAATTGATAGGACAAATCCAGGCACATCGGGGAATCAAATAGGAGGCCAAAGATGCCCCCTTACTGTGGACGTTGACCATGAGCCTTGTGCCAGTTGATCTTCAGATCAAATACTCCCACACTTGGCTCCACGAACACATGGTTGTTTACGCAGATGACATCCACCTCCGGGGGATAATTCGATCGACAGCCCAAGCCCTTGAAGCACTCACTGACCTCCACGGTTCACTTCTTTGAACGCATTCGTGAACCACCTCCATGGACAACCATCCTCACTCACCGACGGCGGATCCAACAGGCCCTGTCGACCAGACGGGAACGCCTCCGCCGTGAAGCCATGGCCGGATGTTTGTGTGTTCGTCCCAGATCTCTGGATTGAACCCCTGATCAATCCACCTGACCACAATTCCACCATGGACAACACTCAGGCAGTGGCCTGTCCGGTATGCCACAGAACCTTCCAGCATGAAGATATTTTCAGCCTTTACGTGATGCATGGCAAGAATTCGATTTGCACGCACTGTTCACATGTCTCCGTTGATTTTTACCAACTTCGTGACCATATCAACAAACATCATGTCCTCGCTTTGATCCTGCTCCAGAAGTCGATCATACCGATCATCAACAGACCAGATCTCAAAATGCATTTGCGCCACAAGTCTGTCCCAGGTCTGCTGAACACGGCTTTGATCAACGAGATTGCCAATCATTGCACTTTTTGTCACTGTCGGATCGCAGCTCGTTCGATTCGAAAGCACTTTACGGAATGCCATCCAGATCTGGTTCCACTGGCCGAGCATTTTCGAGAGCATGTTCATGGCATGGCAAACATAGGAGGTGGTCGTGGCAGATGCAATTTCTGTGACAGTGAATGCCGTGGCACCCGTGCTCATGAGTGTGATGTCCTTTTTCAGATTTCGATCATGATGGGGCACACCTTTCAACCTGAACAATTGCCCATCTTGCCAGTCATGCAGAAAGCCTCTAGGTCCACAACCGATGCACCTAGCTCGTGTTCCATTCCACCGCCGTCACCGGCCTTGCCAGGACCCAGATCACTGGTGTATGCTGGTGTGTCAGCTGGCATGCACAGGGCATTGACGGTCAGGCCTTCCTGAGGTTGGATAACATGTCGAACTCAAGTCGGCAGTGTCTGATGACTCTTGAGCCTCAGGCGGAGCGAACGTCGTCACGGAAGGTCCAAAGTGATCAGATAGGACAGCTGGCACGCTGACAGTGCAAACGAAGTGCAGCTTCTGACGTGTATGGTGTGTGACCATGTGCATCCCGGGGTCATGTCTCTGTTGGGCCGAAAGACAAAGAAAGGTAGCTTCACAACCTGATGTTCTTTGGACAAATGACCTGCTAAGGCTTTGCGGGCCGACCGTTTCCAAGCACAGTGGGCATCGAAAAGATTTCGATGGAGCATCGATGTGCTGACATGGTTTGTTCAGCATGACCGGAACTGTATCTAGTTTCGGAATCTTGGCGGCACGAACAACCTTGCCTTTCAAGGCCTGTTGTTGTCGGAATCCAAATGTGGCAGTGAGGACAGGCATGCAGGGGAGGCGGTTGTGCACTGTGGTCATCAACCTCAACTGCACGATTTGCATCCGGATCAGGTCTCATCTGCACGGCTGGAGCAGCCGTAGGTACTTGGCCATTGGTTGACCACAGCCTCCATGTCCTTTGCAACAGCCCCGTATTGGCATGTTCCTTTTGGCCGAGCTTCGAGCTTCATGCATTCGCCACGCTGGTGATTCCGTGCCATTGGGCTTGGGACTCAGAGGATCAGGAACTCCTGCAATATGTTGACATTGCTTTCCATTCGACAGCCTGGATTCAGCACTTTCACTTTCAAAGCCTGTTGTATGAACTAGAACACGTACTGGCCCAAGATTGGTTCCTTCGGTGTCTTGCACTTGACCTCACAGATGGAACGTATGAGCGGAGACGATCAGTCTTTTGCAAAACTGATGGATCTTTGTGGAAGTCACTTTGCAAAGCGTCCCAGAACAGAGGAGGAGGACAAGCCAGCCGACCGCCGGCTGCTCGTAAGGGACAGAGGAAGCCCTCGCGCTCATCGGATTCGGACTTGGGAGAAGGTGGAAGCTTGATATCCATGCTAGCCAAGTTGATTCTTCGCCAGGAGGGCCAGCTGAATCAGCTCCACCTCGACAAGAGCTTCATCTTCTTTGTTCAGGCCGGAAAGGCAATATTCTGCCACAGATGCTGAAGACTTGCAAGGACTGGCATGGGCAGAGGGAATCTGGCCAGGTCACCACCTCGTTGAGACAACACATGTTCCGCTCCGTATTCGAGGAACTGGCCTTTCGAGCATCGAAACTGCCCTTCGGCTCAAACGATCACGAATTGATTCGTGCCCTTCAGAGCAAGCAGATATTGACGGCAACCAACTCCTGGAATTACCTTCAATGGGATCCCAAAGAAAACTCTGAAGCCTGTAGCCCGCGATCCCCTTCCATCAGAGGAAGCCGCAGCTTTGATCCCGAAGATTCATACTCTGGCAGCTCAGGCGGACTTGATCCACAGGTTCTCGGCACTGAAGCCTATGCCTCAGGATTCGACGGTCACGGATTCAGTTGTAGTGCCATGGAGATTGGACATCTCCCTGAGGGGCCAGGCGGCTCAGGAACTCTACGATGCCCTACAGAAATTGACCGGCAGCGGGCTTACGCAGCTGATCTTTGTTCGAATCCGACCATCGACATTGCAGAGGTCGCCATTGGCTCAGGTCATTGCAGCACGCTTGATGAAATGAGACAGGCCATTTTGGCCCTTTCTTTGGGGAATGGCTGCAACGTCTGCTACATGAATGCTGCATTGCTGGCTGAGCTTTGGGCCTGCTGCATGAATGACACATTTGTTTGGCATGAGGTAGGACCCTGGAAAGATCCTTTGCTTCGCTTGCTTTCTCGATCCAACCACCATCAGTTGCTGCCGGATGCGAGCTGCTTGGGTCATCTTTTGCATTCATGGTACACGAACCATGAAATGGGGACACAGCAAGACTCTGTTGAGTTTGTTGGCTGACTTCGACAAGCCACGCATGGGGATGCACATGGAGGTGGAAGATCCACTTCCAAATGGGAGGCAAGGCTTGAAGCCGCCACCGAAGACTCAGGACAACTTTACGCACCGATCCTCCTTCAGCAGACAAAAGATGGTGATTGCACGATTCAGGACTTGATCAACTTGTGGCATGAGCAAGCTCCGGTCCACTGCGGTCTTTCGGATTGCACGACCACTGTTTGCCTTCAGGTAAATCGGTTCCCAACCATGGATGTTAGGTCACCACAGCCTTTTCGATGGAACCGAATCACAGTCTATTGCCATGTTTCGTCACCGAACACAGCTGGACCTTCCACTGGAAACGTTTTGAGATAATTTCCGTTGTGGTTCACCGAGGTGTCGAACCTCACTCCGGCCACTACCAGGCCTGTCTTCGGACTGGAGGCAGCCGCTTTTTGACTGAAGATTGGAGCCGAGCATTGCCATGTGCTCACACTCCTGACCTAGAGCATGACTTGTATCTCCTGTGGCTCGTTGATTGCACCCACCTCACGAGCGCCTGGAGATCCTTGATTCACTGCAACCCTTTTGTGCCTTTTTCGACCAGCCAAGAGCCATGAAGATTCGATGCCGCCCGGGGGCACCAGATGCGCGAGACGCAGCCGATCTACGGATCGAAGCCCAACACGGGCAGAGCTACCTCTGCCGGAAGTGAATAATAATAATAATATATTCTATTTATAATATATATATATATATTATTTATTTTTAAATAATTGTATTATCAATTATTAATATATTTTTTAAACGTAAATGCTATTTTAAAAAAACAAAATATTAAGTAGTTTTCATTTTATTCGAGGTTTGTTTCATTATAATCGAGGTTTGAGCTACATGTAGAACAAATCGTGTATCATATCGTTTCCATCCACCTCCAAGCGCTCAAACAAGATTAATTCTTTTTGGCATTGCCTTCGCGCGTATTGGGTATAGATCAAGGGGCTGCAGTGCTGCCACATCAAGCTGTTGACTTTTGAGGCGCTTTGTAGCTTTGCTCTCTTTTTCTGTCGTTGCACAGCTTGCAACCCCCATGGAATCGTTTTCAGAACACACTCTTTCTCTGGAGTGTCCCCAAAGCCATTGGACCAAACGGATTACCTCGTTGGCCTTCAAACTCACAGGCTTCTTCATGAAATAGAGTGGTTTCCCTTGGAAGGCATTACTTACATGAACAAATGCATTGGGTTCACTTGCTTCCATCATTTTTCAACTAACATATTGTTGAAATCCAAGAGACGAGGCCATAGCTCCTGTCAGGGAAGACGTGTGCAGCTCACTGCAAATTGAAGCACTAGAGCCTTGCTCAGTACCTTGTTAGGTGCCTTTATTGGGCAGAACTAGCAGCTACATCAGAAATGAAGTAAAATTTCAACATGTTTCAACTAGACAGCCGAAACATTTCAAGACATGGTATCAGCCACAGCCCAGTAGTGGGGGCTGGGTTGTATAAATTTCTTTAACTATCAGTTGAACATAGCTTAGCTACGCTCAACAGTGGTAGGCTCAACACGAGCACAGGTCGGGGTGGGAACAGCGTCATGTGTATATTCAACTAACTAATTACCAACAATTTGGTCCTATAGGTCCCTTTCTTGTAGCCATGCCATGTTGTCGTCAGTGTATTTTGGTGAGTTCTGCAGAAGTTGCCACTGGGTGGAAGACTTGTTGGAACATAGACAAAACCCACAAGGACAACAAAGCCCAGCTCCTTCTCTGCCTTCATGTAAGTGACGCGCCATGCTTTGGTGAGCATAATGTTGGCATCAAGCCTGTAAGTTGAAACATCATTGATTCACCACATCCTGTAAGCTTAGATAGCCACATCATTTGACCAGCAGATTCATTGATGCACCACATCCTATAAGCTTAGATAACCACATCATTTGACCATATCCCCATGTCATTGCATAAACCAATTTAAGTCTAAATCTTGGGCATCCACAGGAAACGCTGAGGTTGCTATGCTGAACTTCAATCCAGAGGTGGACGGGGTGTAGCTAAAGATCGAACCAGCAGAGGCATTGGGCTTCAAGATGAATAGATCGGCTCCATCATCACCTCCAATCAAAGCAATCAAACTGCAAACGTGGTCACGTAGGCTAAACTTGTCTAGGACATAGGACAGGCAAGTATCCATGATCATGAGACTTGTCAACTTGTCTCCATGCCATGGCTGGGGATGGCTGGCCTCCATCAGTGGCTCCAGGCCGATCAAGTGAGTGCTCTTTCACCTTGGTGTCCACCAAGCCTTTTTCCTCCATTTCATGGAGCAACCCACGCAAGGTAGTTACCTCGCTGTCACTGGTGGTTTTGCCGCTTTCCGGTGCAATCTCTAAAACCATTTCAAGATCGTTGACGAGGCGAAACTGACATAGGTATGCCCAAATATTGCCTGCAGCACATAGAATCCGAAATGAATCTTGAACTGAAGGTTGAGTGTTTGCAACTGAAGGTTGAGCAACTGGCTCATATGAAAGTTGATGACGCAAACGGTGTGCCACCCCCACGAAAAACACAAAATATGTGGTATTGCACTCCAGTGTGGCAGGCATTTTTCCTCGATTCGCTGGCCACACACGGCAATCAAATGCGATGTGAACTAAGGCGCAGCATGATACCCCTGGAGCTAAAATGAGACCGACGGTCTCAGCAAAATATTGTCCTGACATTTGCCAGGCCAGCAGTAGTTATGCCGTGGATTGCTTCTTGGTCAAGCGCCGACGGCTTAGCTCAGACTTTGACATATGGCTCATTGCATTCAGGCGCTCTGGATGATTCTCCCACCTTGGCATCGAAAGACGAATCACATATGGCATAGGACATATCCCAACTGAGACTGTGAAAAAAATATTAAACATACAAATGAGCATGATGATTCAATTCCTTTTGAGACAAAGCACTCCTTCTTAGCCATTGCGAGAATTTCCCTCCTACTCTTGTTGGGGTACTTCTTCTTGAGAAATTTCTGATTCTCGTGCACCACAGCCCAATACACGGAGTGCAAAGACACATTGCGCGTCTCACTCTTGTTGATCTTTGCTGGCTCAGCGGGATTGCCACCGATAGGTTCATGACCATCATCGCCATCATCAGGAGGAGTGCCATTCTCAGATTTCACAGCACTAGATCCCCCAGCAAGGCCTGGGCATTCCTCATCCGAGCCAGTACCAGGCAAACAAAGGGTCTCCTGCGAGAGATCTCCATGTTCCTCCATATTGGCCTGGATCAGGTTAAAATAAATAAAGATCACTGGACCGAAGCAATCAGGCAAAAACCATTGGAAATTCTTGAAATGCTATGTCGACATGTGATGTGTCGATTATGGATTTGTTTTCTATGCTCATCACGTTGCGTTTGTTGCTTGGCCAGACCAGGCCGGGCCTCTTCACGCTCTGGTGCAGCTTCGCACTCCGGTGCCTCTTCAGGCTCCTCCTTTTGGCAGAGGGCCCAGTTGACACACACACACATACACATGTACCAGCTAGAGATGCAAACAAAATATCAAAGAAGATCAAAAAATTACAAGCCAATGGATTGACATGTGTTAGTATTGAAGCAACGCCAATACCAGACCTTGTTGTCGGATTTCTTCGCTCTGGGCTTGCGAGTCTGGGAAGCCTTAGCACCTGATGCCTTTGAAACCTTAGCCTTGGCAACCTTTGCCTTTGCCTTTGGCGCCTTCTTGGCCTGAGCGGCGCCCTTCTTCTGTTTTGCAGCGGTTGGCTCCTCGACCTCAAGGTGTTCAGGGTCTTCAGGATGTTCTTGATTTGGGCTGGGATCTTTTGGCTTCTGGGTGACAGTCTTTGTCTGTTCATTCTTGGTGACAGTCTTCTTTGTCTTCTTGGGTGCAAGCTCAGTCTCTTCATTCTCATCGCTGTTTTTGTTCTTCTTCTTGGGCGCAAGCTCAGTCTCTTCCTTCTCATTGATGCGTTTGTTCTTCTTCTGCTTGGGTGCAAGCTCAGTCTCTTCCTTCTTCTTCGTGGGTGGTGCAGTCTCACGCTCTTCCTTCTCATTGTCTTCTTTGGGTTTCCTACCTCTTGGCTTCTGTTGGCTCTTTTTCTCTTCCACAACATTGTTGAGTGCAGCAGACAACTGACGCTTTAATGTGTTCTGTGCTTCGGGATCCAGTTGTTTGTGGGAACTACCAATGGTGCTTGCAGCCTTCGCTCTCAAAGGCAACTGGGGCTGTGGTGGGTGCACTGGTTTGGAATCAGAACCTCCAGTCGCGCGGCAACCGGTTGATAAAGGGCTTCTCAAAGGCACCTCAGTTTTATCCATTGTAACTATCGTCTCTATAATAGAGTTTCTCTAAGGGGTTATATAATATGTTCTGAGGCTCTTTTTGTGCGTCTGTTGATTTTAGGTGAAGGCTTTTCTGAGGAGCAGACAGCAGGAGGCGTTTCCAATGCTCCGGGACTGTCATCTAGCATTGAACTCAAATCCTGCAGCATGGCCAATGGGTCAGGTGATAAACAGGAAACTGGCAGCAACCAAAATGTTTTGCCCCATCATTGATCCCACAACAATCCAGAAGCTTTTGGTTGAGTCCTGCTTGAACCCATGTAAAGCAAGCACATCGGTCAGCGAAAGCATTTGGTTTGCCTCCATCCTTTTGATAGACACCTTGATTGAACCTATAGCCCAACCCAACTGTAAAACGGCTGAGGCAGAGAAGCATGGAGAACGAATTCATGCAAAGGACGACCGGGCGAGCGGTGAGCGGTGAAACCACAGTGAACACCCAGTCATGGCCGGCCTCCTGCGCACTCGCGTTCCATCTTGGCTACCTTCTCTGCTTTCAGCCAGGCGGACTTCCCATGGCCAATCATGAACTCCTTGCAATCAATATCTATGTCTTGGTGAGCCACCTGGGCAAAAAAGATAAACAACACTTGGCAGATGTTGGCAGAGTAATCACAGCCAAACCACCCCAATGAAACAGCCAATGTGAGTAGCAGCTCTCAAGAACTGCTCACTATTGTTCACTGTTTTGTTGACTAGGGACAAGGAAGAGCTTGAACTTCTGGGATTCGATCATGGCCACCGACTCCCCTTGGCGACGGGTTGCCACCATCAAGTACAAGGAAGTTCCTGGGCGCCGCCCTGAAAAACGAGCTTCCACGACGTAAGTGTCCAGCAAGCCTTGCAACTCCTGTGGCTCGCAGGACCACGCGGTGGAAAGTGGTTCATCAGCATCAGGCTCAGCGGGAACAATGGCGCTCTCAGGAACTGCAGTATTGTTGGCACCAAACCTCAAAGGATGCTAGTTTCAATAGGATTGTGCCCAAGTTGATGATTGTGCACAGGTCTATGCTGTTTTCCAGCCACTTTGTGAGTGCATGCGGGTGTATGATTTGGGGTAAAGCAACATATTATTTAAAGCTGCAGGATTTAAATCAACATGTGAGTTAAACTTGGCGAGAAGCTTGCGGTCGAACTCTTGGATGAGTCCTTTCCATTGTTCGCAATGAACTGGATCCCCTAGGTGACGTTGCCGCACCTCGTTGCTGAGGGAAAAGTTGAATCGGCTCCATCCTTTCTTGTTGTTGTCCACTGTCACAGTCGCTAGCTTGAACGTGAATTTCTCAGCGTCCACCTCTTCTGCTGGCGGTGGGGAAGGGTCATAGCGCCGCACGTCCCCGAGAACATCCGATCCATTTTTCCCCTCCTGCTAGGGTTCTACCTTTGCGACTAGACTGCCCATACTCCTATTAAAGTCTAAGTCATGAGACCATATCCCTATGATCTGGAACGGATTGAGACTTAGCAAGTCCCGAACAATGAAAACATAGCAAGCTGGCTGGATTGAACAACTTGATTTGGAAACAAACTAACTACTATGGAAACACCTTTCCTGCAGGAGGTGCATGGCAACCAGCTTCTGGGTGTAGTTCACCACATCTGGATCTGTCGCCACAGACAAAGATCGAATCTTCTTGCCAGCGTTGTCCAGGGGAAGCGAAGGCAAACTTTTTCAAGGCAGGCGTCATACGGGCTCAAGTTGATCACTCCGATGGTTGACTGTGCATCGGATCCCTGTAGAAAAGAATTCAAGATCGATTCTGGCAGGGCAGAGCCGGTCAGCAGCTGGGCTGTCTCTTGCACCTCCGAGAGTGCCCTCAGGGGAGTAACAGTGCTTCAAAGGCTTTCTGTTGAAACAGTTGACTGTGGTATACAGTATGTTTTATGTCTTTGGGTTGGTTGTCAATGCTAAGTGACTTTTGGTGACACAGTGTACTTGATACTTGTTTGCAACACCTGCCTCATTCCTTCGCTAGCGTGAGGCAAATGGTCTTTTCCTTGTGGGACTTCATACTGGCTCTCTGGCACCCACGGAAGAAGGTCTCTGTTTGACCTCAGATTTTCAATATGGAACATGATGTAACCCCAAATTATGTTTAACTTCTCTATATTTAACAATGTGTGAACCATTGACCGGTGGTATACCCAGAAAAACATGCCACATACAAGCCTGGGCACCTGTCCTGCATCATCATGGATTTGCTCCACACATTGCTATCCATGGTACCATTCTGGAAAACAGCCCATCCAGGAAAAGTGTTAGCAACCTTTTTGGAGCTTGGTGGAACATCGCATCGGATATTGATGGGTGAAGCCACGAGCATTCTGGCATCCAGCTTGTCCTCGACCCTCCTGGTGTTGACGAGCAAGGAATTAGGACTCTGCTGTTTACAGGGCCAGGGTCGCACTGGTTTTTTGAATGTTTTAGGATGTTGTAGGTCACTTCGAGCTTTCCCATAACGGGCCAACCTCTCCTTTGAGTTTTTCCCACAACTGACCAATTCCCTTTTCAGTCACCCAGGCCCCAGAACTCCTCCATTCATCTCTCAATGAGCTTCGCCGTTCGGAGGTGAGTTGCGGTGCAATCAGAAAGCCGCACGATTGCTCTGGCAGAGCTGAGAGGACCCGCTGAAGAAGCTCTGTCGTGTGGTTCAGGTCGGCAACACTCAAGCGACCAAACTTCATGAAGTCCACCCAAACCAGCACACTGGACTTATCTTTCTTCATGCGGTTGATGAACTCAGGGGTCAACGTTTGTTGGTTCAAATCCAAACTTGATTGTTTCCATTGTTGTCACATTCCAGTGATGATGTGTTGAATAATCAACAAGTAGAAAAGGGAAGTCCATCAAAATACAAATTTGACATGACTTAGTAACATGATGTAACATTTATCACCTACTGTGTGACCCATGCCTCATCTAGCACAGGTTGAAGTGTGGTCAATGGACCCCCAACATGCTTCCAGTTCTTCTCCATGTGCTCCATGACGATGCCACAACCAATGGAGTTCTCCTGTTTCAAGTGCATCACGCGGGCCAAACGAGCTGAGCGTTCTGATTGCTGACTCTTCTGAAACAGGTTGGCACACTGAGCTGCGTCTCTAGCCAGAGCTAGCTGGTCAGCTTGGAATTGGGCATCATTCTTGCTCTTTTCCAGCTTGCTGATCTCACTGTCTGCAGCGTCCAGAGTGGAGCTCTTCATACAAACATCGGCCATGTTCGAACGCCAAAGATCTGTGTCGTTGGCACGAAACCCTGGGTGCTGGCATTCCACCAAAGGTTTGAGCTCATCATGGAAGTCCCTTGGGTTGGGAGTAACATAAACCAGCCAAGAGTAACATAAGCCAAGCAAAGAATAACTTTTTTGGTGTGGGAGGCGACCAAAAAGGTTGATTCTTCTTAACAATTCATTCCAAAAAGGTTGGGCAACCAAAAAACACAATGTACTACACCAGGTTATTGAGAAAGCGAGAGTCCCTTCGATGAAGCGCTTTCTCACCATAGCCATGGTGTCAGCAGGGAAAACAACAAGGTTGTCCTCCTCGGTCCTGAAGTTGGTCATGAGGTTCATGATATGCCCTGCAATACAAGCTATGTCAGCTTCTTGATGCCATTGCTGGGAGTTCATTCTGATCACTTGGGCCTTTCCGGCCCTGATCTTCGTGACATCGAAAATGAACAACACCCTCTCCATGAAAAGCAGCTGCTTGCACTCGTCCATTTGTAGGGCCTCATACCAAATCCCCTCGGCTGTTTTTGGAACACCGTTGAGCAGCCACCTCGTCGCCAGGAGATTCTCTTTGTGGAAGGCTGCAGGGGGGCATGGGCAACAGACATGAGTGTCCATCTAAAGGACCACTAAACATGGCCCTAACCTTTCTTCAAACACCAATCCAATATACGACACCCAGCTCCTGAGGCTTCGAAGCGGTTCACATGCAAGTGTTGTTCAAGTAGTCGCCAAACATCGTTGCATACACCATTCTGACAGGTTGCAAAGAAGGGTTTTATGCATATCTTGCCCTGGGAAAACCTATTGAAAACCTTAACTACTGATTCTCTACAGACAATTTATTTATCCAATGATGATTTGAAGCTCCCAAACCTTGAGCCCAAACATCAGGCTAGATATAGACTTGTCGATGCGATGCTTGGGGGATGTCGCAGCAATGCCATAGGCGTTGAACTCTTCAATGCCGCAGCCCCAACAAGCGGCGTAGTCCAGCTCCCCAACACTCTCCTACCAGGTCCCGGTTAGGTAACTAGTTGAGATTTAGTTGCGTGCAATGATTACAGAATCTACTCTTATCTGCCCAAGCATTGGAACGTCCTACACCCAACAGTACTAGCAAGCAAGCAGTCAGTCCTTCAGAACCTTTTCTGCTCGATTGTGAAATAGAAGTGAGAGCTGAATCACATTCTTCTTCTGTCTTTCGGCCTGCTGTTGTGACACCTGGATGCGCCGCCAAACATAGTCTTGATCTTGCGCCTCCTCCACAAACTGACATGGAATCACTGCAGTTTGCAACCACCTTAGATGTTTGATCTTGGTTCTTCTCACAACATTCAGATGGAACAAAATGTTTCCAATATGGGTTTTGGGAGATCCCTCATAATCACCCTATATGAACATGCGGATGATTTAGTTAAATTTAATCATGAAGCAATGCAGAAAGCCTCAACTCTTTGAAAAATTTGCCCAACAGGTTCTGACCAGCTTTCGATTTGACAAGTGAGAGAACCACTGGGGAGAGTCTGGGGAGATTCTTTGCGTCATCCTTGGGGACCTCAAGTTTCACAAATTTCAAGGGCGACGCTCTGATCTGGAGCATCACCCTTGGAAGTTCTTGTCAAGGTGTTTGGATGATGATAGTGACCGGGTCATCATCCTTGGAAGGCTTGCTGGGCTGAGTTTGGGGCGACGACTTGATATCTGCGGCGACGGTTTGGTTTCAGGGACGACGATCGGGACCGGAGCCACGCCTGAGCACGAACACATAGACCTTGTAGATCACAAGTTGAAAGCCAACAAATGAAACAAATACCACCACCAACAAAATCCACCATAGGCGTTCGTCTTTGAAGTTCGTCTCATTGATGTCGAGGGTCATAGCCTAAACGCCAGATTTGCTCAATGCATGAGTTGCCAACAAAGCCACGAACATCTTGGCAGATTTCTCCTACAAGTCTTCACTTTGACCTCGTCGATGATAGTCCTTGTAGTGGTGCCTTCGACTGCAATAGCGATGATGTCCTTGGTCTTGGGTCAGCTTCTTGCCACATCCTGGCAATTGACATATCTCCTTTGGGATGTCTTCGACTTCCAATACTTCTCCTTCAAAAAGACGCAGAGCCGCTTCATCTTGTTCCCTTTCTTCATCTGCCTTGACCTCTTTGGAGACCTTCTTGGCTGCCGTGAAGTTGGGGTCATACCGAAGTGCATGTACTCCTCGTTTGAGTATGTGAGCGAACTGGTCTTTTGCACTTGGCTTGGTTAGACCATCTGCCACCTGCTGAGTGGAATTGACCCACTTCAGGTATCCCAGCATGGCATTGAGCCTTTCCTTCACGATGCAAAGCTCAATGGCCGTTCGCTTCTCCGTCAAATACAAACCACCAGACACGGATCGAGCCGAATCGAACAATGACTTCGCATCTGTCAGCGCTGGGATTTGCCCAAACATCTTCAATGTGTTTTCTTCAGCAATCAGCACTGTAGGACAGACCATCGTTGCTGCATAGATCTTGGTCCACTCGGTCTCGTCGATGGCTGCGCTTCAGCAGACAAGGAAGAGCGACACATTTTCGTCAACTTCTTAGAATGCCAGCTCGCCAGTGTCAATGGAAAAAATATTTGCCTTCGTTCATCTCAACCTCAGTCCCAACGAAGATGGCGTGACCGCCCTGGGAGGCTCCATCAGGTCTGATGCCCCAATTTGCGTCTATATACACGCCAAAACGAAACTCAACCAGGGAGGATCCATGACGACGAAGGGTCATGCAGTAGCCTTGTACCACCTCCTTGGCAAATCTCAAGAGCTTATTAGCGATATTGATGTCGTTGACGGTTGCGGGCCACGCTATCGCTCCTATCCATGCTCTCAACACCTTCACCTCCTTGTCTTCCAGCGGGTAATCGTTCATGGTCTTTCGGCTCTTGTCAAGCGTGATGGGCTTGATCTTGTGGACATACTCTTTGAACGACAGCGTGATCAAGTCATTGTTCAAGCTCTGTTCAATGGAGGTGCCTCAAAAAAGGGTTTGAAAGTCCCAAGAGCCAAAACGGAACTTCTTTGAGAGTATTTGCAATCTCTTCTTGAAGAATCATTCGAAGTGTTCCTCCTCAGTGGTATTGGCTCCTGTGGCATCTTCTACAGAGCTCACTCCTTCTCCGCAGCCTAGGAAATCAGTAACATGAAGTCCCAAAATAGCATCGACAATGCTGGGCACACCATCGCGCAAAAACACCTGAAATTCAGGATCATTACTGTACACTGTACGCCCTTCTCACACTCAGAAATACACAGTTGTCCAGTGGATGCACCAAAAATTTCGCCTCTTCCAGCAAAAACTCTGGTGCAGATTCATACCACTGTCGAGGTGCCCGGACATCTCCAGAGGCGGGTTTCGTCGCCTTGAGCAGCTCCCACGGCCCATCAGACGCTCCGGTCGTCTTCTCATTTCAGCGGTTGGCCTAATGAAAATACGAGTCTGCTCATCAATTGATTTGGACTGCATGAAGGCGCTCTTGACATCAGCAGCAAACACTTTCCACCCGAGCTGACAAAGTGGGTGACTCTCGATCCAGCTCCTCTAGCAGCACGTCCTTATGGCGGAAGCCTTGGATAATGACTCTGGCATTTGCCACTTTTAAATTTTTTTCTTCCACCGCTACAGAAATCTGGCAGGGATCATTTCACCTTCACGAGCTTCAGACTCCGGCACCGCTTTGCAAGCGGTATTATCCAACCAAACCTGCAAGGCCTTGTCCTTAGCCATGTCGAATTCCTTTTCTCTTCTGCACTCAGCTTTTTCTCATTGAAGGTATCTGCCATCAATTCCTCCTGGCCCCATGCCGTCAAGCTGCCATGCCATGTTGTAAGAACGAAACGCTTGGGCTTTCTCATCACGTGCTGGAGGACTCCTTAAACGATCTCTCTCTCTCTCTCGACCAACTGACTCTGTCACAGGTTGATCTTCAGGTTCTGCTTTCTGACGATCCTCAGGCATGATTTGATCCTTCTCTTCAGGCATCTCTTCAGGAATCATGGGTTCTTCAGACATGCAAAGCCGGTGGGTCCTCCTGCTGGTCTTCTTTGGAGTCCTCATGGTGCTCAGCCGCTGCATTGTCGTGAAAAATTGGATCTGGCTGTGCACTCGAAGCGTTCGCGAAAGAGGTACCCCCAGAGTCAGACGAAATGGACGAAATGGCAGGAGCAAGGTCCGAAAAACGAACAGGACCTCGAACGGGTTGGAGCGCGCGGCGAATGGTGTCCTGCACGGGGCGATTCAAGGCAATCTCAGGAAAATGCTGCAATCTTGCCAGTCGTTCACGAGGAAGCTCAGCTCGAACATGTTCAGGGGCGACTCTAGCCAAAGCAGATCCATGCGCAACCCAATAAACACTCGGTCGACAGGAACCTGAATCAGTGGCACGGGGCTCACTCATGCACAGGATGGCAGGTCCACACCATCGTGAGGGTTCAAGCTTTTGATCGCCCTGCCGCCAATAGAAAACCCATGAGCCAAGAGACAAAGGCCCGTGCTCGGATCGTGGTCGAGCGAGAAGAGAGCGACGGAGAAAGGCATCATGATTGGCAGAATGAAATGCTTTGGCAGCGGCCAACCTCAGAGCTACATTCTCTTGCACAGCCGTGGGTAGTTCAGGACGAAGATCTTGTGGTTCATCTAGTAGGCCCGACATTGGGAGTTCGACCAAAGACCATCTCAGCTGGGGATGAACCATGCACTGACCTCAATCGATTTCTCTGGTCACAAGCCACACGGATGGCGCTCTCCAGCTTGATCTCGGGCAGCTCTTTCTTCATCTTCAGCAATTGAAGCCTGCGGACTGCATGTAGCCGCTCAATGGTTCCCAATCGATAGTATGCCTCCTTGGGGATCAAAATCAATTTGATCTTGTATCCGTCCATGGCGTCGATGAAGTTCTGGCTCATGTGAGCTCCTGAGGCATCGGTCTTCAGCTTGATTGGAAATCCAAAAGGATGGAATCACAGGTCCTCGATGATCTTGAATTCAGCGGCTTCGGTCTCGAGGCAGCAATGCATTCACCTCATATTTGGAAAACAGATCGATGATGGCGAGAATCTTGACCTTTTCATCTCCCCATTTCAATTGAAAAGTATCCATCTCGATCACTTCGTTGAAATAATTTCTTTCGTCCAGAGAAGCCGGGTGTGCTAGCTTCTTGGGTGCTTCAATCTGACAGATCTCGCAAGAATATTTGTGCGCACATTGAATCACCTCCTCCGGGAATTTGGCATCTTTGAGCGCATGGATCAGTTTCTCACGCCCCGGATGGCCAAGTTGTCGGTGAAGCTTGTTTACAATTTGGAAGGCTTTTCTTCCATGTGTTTTCATCAAGCTTTTCTCTTCACCTCCAGCTCGTCCACCTCATCGGTCACGAAGATCTTCAACATCTCATGATCATGCCATCTCTGGCACATATCCTCATAGATGGCCTCAGAGGCTCGCTGAACA